TTAGATTTTTCTGGAAGACCTTTTAGGTTATGCCTATGTTCCCGGAGCCGCACGGCCAGAGGTCTGCCTGTTTTGCCAATGTAGCTTCTGCCACATTCACAGGGAATGCTATAGACGCACTGTGCCGTCTGTTGCTGATCTCTTTTCGGTCTAGTTTTCATAAGGGAGTTCCTAAGTGTGTGTTTCGTAAGGAAGATGGTCCTAATATTATATCGATTACCTATCCGTTTAAACTTTTCAGAAACACCCTTCACATATGGAATATAAACAGAACACAGAGGGCTTTCCTCTTTCTTCGGACGACTACTGCCCTTGGAATTAATGACCGAGTCAATGAAACCTTTGGGATAACCGTTCAACTGAAGATCGTGTCTCAGGTTGTTAATTTCTCTGACCAAATCTCGTCGATCTTGGCATATGGTAGAGGCTCTGTCGTGGAGACTTTTTATCAAGCCTCTTTTTACATGCGGCAGATGGTTAGAATTGAAGCTTGTATGTGTTTGCAACAATTTGTTATGAATATTTTTCTTATTAGCTCTCATGGACTTAGCCTGGTCTCAGGTGTTTATAATCTTCATGTTTTGTGACATCGGTTTGTCCAGTGATTGAGGCTAGCTCTTTCTAACGGATCCAACAGAATAGGCGTTTTCCTTCACCTGAGGACGGAAACAGATCCAGTTTCCGAAACGTCGTGTTTTTATTAGTTATCTTAAAAACCAGGATGATGGATAAATTCCAAAAACCCAATATATCAGTGTGTTATACACCATCGTCAGAATCCTATAGTAACTACATCCCGTTACTTCTTTGGCAGTAAATGCAATGTACAATGGTTTTACAGGCTACTCCCCTGCATTATGTAACTAAATTTTGCTTTCGTGTAGTACTGTTTGAAGCACCCGAGAATTCACAGTCCCACATCACATTTCTCGCACTTCGTCTGAACACGTTTCCTCTTTCCACGTGCAGAACAAACATGGCATTTCATTCTCATGGCACGAGAGGTCGGCCAGTGATGTCGATTGGCCTCCTCTAGACGAAATATTGTGGATGACAGAGCAGGAGGTCGACCTAATGGCGCTGTGGTTGGGAGCGGCACATTACAGCATGTTCCAGCATGTTGCGCATAAGGGTAAGACGAAAGTCCCTATGTGACAGTTTCGCACCGCAGGATGATAGCAGGATGAAACTGTTCAGAATCGTCAGATCCAGTAAATGGAGGACGCTTGTTTGGCAGAAATAAGGGTTTTTCAAAGAAAGTGGGGGGAAGACAATTTTCCTTTGTATCAACTTCCGCCAAATACCCTGAATAAGCTGAGAAACTTGTGAAGATAGAAATATATAGGCTTATGGCCAGCACACTTTTATGTCATGGGGTTTCTGCTAACAACCCCAAGTGTTACAAACAGGAAAGATTTTATACTGCAGAACTGTTGTGTGTAGGAGCGGAACAATTTTATACTGCAGAACTGCCGTGTGAAGAATTTTTTAGTTAATTCCATTCATTTATCATAAAAATTGTATTAGATAGACCAATTCCAAATACAACGCTCAAGCGCTCTAAGTGGCACTGACATTTAAACGTAGAGCAGAAACGTAGATTTAAGGAAAGATTCATTTTCGCATTCTTAAGACCGATAATAAATTATACAATGTCGGAAACAGTTTGTCATTCTCTTGCCTTCCATCCCATCCAATCCCAATGCGGAGGTGGCCTGTCTCCAACGAAACAGTTGTTTACAATGTTGAGTTTTTCTATTGTTGATGTCACGTCTGAATTCTTAGTTATTTTATTGAAAATGGAAAAAAAAAACAATATCTTGGCAGAAAATGAGGTACACATTACCTAC